CGCGATCTCGTGCTGAAAGAAAAGTTGGAGGCGCGCGAGAAAAAAGGAGGAGAAAAGGGGAAACTTAAAATATCGAGTCTCTCTCGGAGTCGAGGGGGCCCGGGTGCGCTATCGTCGCTGTCGTCGCCGGCTATCTTCGAGTCGAGTTAATGCACCGGGGACTGGCCACACGCAGTCGCGCATACGAACGACGAGGCGCGTCGTACGACATGCAAATACCGTCGTATAATTGCTGGTGTCACGCAATCGACTCGGCAGCGCCATCATGACGGCGACGGCGACGGGGATGGCGACGACGACGGCGACGGCGGCGACGGCGACGATGACGACAATGACGACGGCGCTTTGACACGAAACCGTATCCGTTCCCCAGCAAAAAGCTGTATATCGGGAAACGTTCGTTAACGATAGAGAGAGAAGCTCGCGAGCGGCGAGCATGTCGCACGAAATCGTCGAGACGGAATTAATAAGAATAAACGACTCGGTAGATTGATGATACTCCTCGCTCTTTGTTTGCGAGTTCAATCTTTTCTGATGCCATTGGATTTTGATCGTTTAACGAAACGCTGAATACGAGGGGGAAACCATTGAGGGCATTACAGATTTGCGGCGTTACTGGGCATTACTGGGCAGTTTTTTGGGGGCATTAGTTTGGGCATTAGGCCTTGCTGTGGTATTATAAAGGTAAAATAAGTGTAAAATAAATTAGTGGGCATAATTAGTGGTGTACAAGATTTTGGTCAGCGGTTTCCCCCTCGGCTAAATATTTATCGTAGTTCGGATGCAACATAGCTTTTTGGCATTCACAAAGAATTTTAATTACGATAAATAAATCCAACAGTTGTATGTGATTTCGTATAATCAAGAAAGCGAGGTAGAAAACCATGTTCTCATTCAAGTGATCTCGAGATATATCATAAGCGCCCAACTTGAATGATTATCTACTTTCATTGTCAGCATCAGAGCTAAAGTTTCCGTTGTACGAATACGCGTACACATTTTTTTACCAGTACAATTCATTTATGTGCGCCGTGCAAAATTGTTTATTCCGTAAATTTCATACGACGGCAAATCTCTACTTCACAGTGCTATTCGCTCCAGCGTCCAAATTTCCAAGTGGAAACGGTCGAGCAATAGAGAGGACAGGGAGTACAGCCAGCAATAAGCGCGACGATGTCGTAAACGACATTAATCCGCGCTATCCCGGAGAAGTGCATTTATAAGCTACCCCTGGTTTCACGCCGCACCGAGGATAATTTACTCTCACGCGGTACACCGACCGCATAATTTAAAACGTTGATTTACACGCTTTATTAGTTCGATGATTACGTGTTTCAGCGATTTTTTTCTCTCTTTCTCCTTCAATATTCGCGCAATATTAATTGTGCACACATACTTTCGCTATTTTATAACAACGTAAATGTATTTAAACGTGCTCATACATGGTTGCAACAATACGAATGGCCGATTACATTAACTCTTGAATGAGAATAAAAATGAAAATCTCGAATTCCAAATAATATGAGCACAATAAATATTGTTTTTTTACTTGAAGGCGCGAAGCAATTGTTACAATAATTCTGAACGTAACAATAATATACATGATAAAATCTTAACGATACGTTTCAACAAAACATTGATACAAGTACGATTTCATTTCTGATGTAGCCTTTGTCATTTTTATAATTAATTAATTGAAACAAGTAGCAATATTTAAATTAATAGAGTTAATCGGGACCCAAATAAATCAAATAAGAAACGAGAACGCCAATGAGACCCGAGCAAGATGTAGGTAGCCCAGTAATTTTTAATATAGCGTGTGAATTCATATACCGTTTTCCACCTGTCTTGCGCGCCGATTTCTTGTCGGATATAACACAGTATCGTTTAGATGAAATAATTGTCGCCAGCGAATTCACATATTAAATAAATAACAATGACTCGTATGATAAAATCAAGTAATAAAAGCAGAGGCTCAGAGCCTGAACAAGGTTGTAGTGTCCAATAAAATTATTTAAATATAAATGCATATATATGTATACTCTCTAAGTTTTTGGAGTGTTTTAGAGAGTACGTTTCGGTCCTTATCGGACCATCTTGAAGAAGAGATAGTTACGATTTAACACATGGGTGGATTTGCAAATTCGATATGTACAAAGAATTACGCAGTAAATTCTAGTGTAAAATTAAAGGATATACAAATTGTAATAATTCATGAAACGGTAGCACATAAAAAAAACACGGCGTAAGTAAATATAACATGTTGAATTAAAAAGAGAGGGCTGTGACAATCAAAACACGGTACAAAAGTTACAAAGTTAGTGCCAAATAGAAAAGGAAGACGCATATTAAAGTCGATTTCTGATTATTTAAAAAAATGCTAGATTTAAATATTTTTGCGAGACACTCAATGGCTGTTCCCTCTTTATCCTGTTACACGAACAAGAATATTTTTCGCTCAAAATTAATCATGCACAGTTGAAAAATGTGTGTTAAATTTAACAGATATCACATGTCCCAAACAGTCCACAGAAATTTTTGTGTTAATTTAACATAATATGGATATGTTAAATGATCACACTAATACTCTGTTGATATTTTAACAGAAAATAAATGCAAATCTCAAAATAATTTGAAATAAATTTTGTGTAAAATTAACATATTTTTAATGACAAAATGAATTAAAAACTAATGTAATTTTACATTTTACAGATGTAATAAGTTAAACGACGGTTCGAAATCACTCTCACTTATGTCATTATAGAATAAGATCAACATTTTATTCTGTAAATTTTAACAGCTAAATCTTGTTGCTAATAATATACAACATGTATATTGTGTAAACTAAATGCACATTGTGTTGTTTTAACATTTCTTTTCAGTTATTTTAATAATTTTACATTTCAGGTCAATTAACACAAGAGCAATATGTTAAATTAACACATGAATGTGTTAAACATTTAACACAAAAATTTTAACCGGAATTTTTTTTACAAGAAAACACAAATTTTCCAACTGTGTGTCGTTGATCCGTCCCCACAATTCGATCGATGTTAAAGAGTCGCGGAAGAAAGGCGGACGATGCGAGGTGAAGGTGGAGCGCTGCCGCGATGAGACGGAGAAGGGAACGTTGGTGCCGTTGCACTTGCGTCGTTGCAATCGCATTACATCGTCGCGACCGCGATGCATACGAAGTAATCTCGCCGCGGTGGGCCCAGACAGGCTGTCGCCGCGACGCATTCTTGCGGGTGACTCTAGACGAACGGAGACGGAGATACGCGCCGCACGAGTGCGGTGCGAAAAGCGGTTAGACAAAGACAATCGGAAGTGCGCAATCGGGAAATTTCACGACAGATATGAAAACGGCGGAGATGGCAGTCGATAGCATTCAGAGGCGCTCGATGCCTGCCTCCGTCGTAAATTGTAGCGGCGTAAAAAGCACGTGGGGGAACACCCTCTTCCCACTTCCGTAGTCATCGTACTTTTTTGTGGTGCATAAACAATTTATTACATCCACTTTCAGCGTATCGTTTAACTGGTTTTTTTTCACTCTTATATTTATGATTGCAATATACCTTTTACTGCGCGATATATTTCTCGCGTTTCATCCTTAAGACTACCTTTATAGCGTTTTACATCGTCTCGCGCTCGCGACGCACAATTTTCCGGGCATTTCGTACCGTATTGTAATGACGTATAAATGTGAATGTGTAAAAAGAAAACGTTCATTCTTGCAAATTCGCTGGCAGTAACATCGTCGCGCTACACTGAAATTCCTGTATCTTCGTTCTTCTATCTAATTCCCAAATCCTCTTTGTCCCCCGTCCGACTGGAGTTAATTATTCATGCGCCCCATTTTGCCACGTTTTACTTTCATGACCGCTAATAACTCGGGATCTGCGTCTAATCGAATTTATGCAAATGACAATCAGAATGTACACAGATACGTTTGCCCGCACATGTATCCCAGTATACACGTTTCGTATATACATATACACGGGATGGAACGAATTTACCGGAATTACTCGGTTGCCTTTGTTGTCTCGATAAATATGCAAAAATGCTTCGCACAGAAATTGGTTAGAAAGGGAACAATACGATAATGTAAAAAGCAGCAGTAATATCGGTTTAAATTCCTTCATCGGTTAAATGACGCAACGTGATATAATGTATAGATAATTGCAAAGGCAATGTTAGGTGAAAAGTTTTCTCGCTCAATGCAATAAATTGTAAAAAAGTTCAGCTTGTCAGCGACAAAAACACTCGAGAGATCAGGTCACTACATTATTTGGAAAATGCGCGAAATTACGAATGAAAAGCGGGCTGTTTCATTATCCAGCTGTCAGCGTACTTATATTAACATTAACGAATTTTAATTAAAACGCCTCGTTATAGCAGGGAGCATATGTTCGGATAATTAGCGCCCTGTATATCTTGGACATTTTGGACTTTAGTTATGGTGTTCGCGTTTCATGATATATCCGGCTCGTATTTATATGTATACCGGATTTACAATTTCGGCGATTCACAAATTGCGCAAAAACACGTTCATCCACAGTGGAAAATTTAGTACTACAAGAGAGAAATAGAGAAAGAAAAAGAACGGGTTTTACAGCGGACTAACCGTTGTAATACATAACATAGAAATAAAGTAAGTTAAAAAATTACGAATGTAACAAAAGATAAGCATTTTGTCCCGCTATAAAATCCCTTTAATGCATTTCACTGGAAATGCGCAATAATTAGATAGAATGGAAACGTTGAAACGCCAAAATATTTTCTTACACAAAAAAATTGTGGGGTTTGCGTAACTTTTTCAAAGTGGGATCCTCGTAAACGGATAGTAGGCGGTTTTCGAACTTAATCACTGTTTCGAGTCAGAATTTCGTTTGATTCAACTTGATTCACGGCGGAACGCGAAGGTTAAACGAGCATTAACGTAGATGCATAAATCGTAGATGCACCATAACATAATTCACATTGCAGACGACATTACTCACCGGCAAGAACCCCGGCCATGTAAACCGCGGCGATCCTCAGGCTTCCGTGAACCATTTCCAAGGGAAGTCCCACGACCACCTGTACCCCCAGGTTAAACAGCAGGTGAAGCCACCTGAAAAAAAATGTAACCGCGCGGTAAATTACCAAGGCATGTCAATTGTTCTGTTGGAGCACGAGATGCACCAGGAATTTAATTCAATTACGACACAATGTGCATGCAAGCAACCTCTGTAATACGTCTATGGCGCACTCCGTTATTGCGGAATCAATCGCAGTAAATGCGCGATGATGCCGCAGTAAATACACAATGTTGGAATATTTTATTCATACGTAAATACAATGACGATTATAGAGTCGTTAAAAATGAATATCGCATCTAACAATTAATGTAAAATTATTTGAAAAATAATTATTATCTATTACATTGATCGAGAGACACCGCGCTCACTGTATTATAAAATAATTAGGTACGGAAAACTCCCTTTCACTGTCGCGAAGTTTAGCCGCGAGAGCCCGAGTTAACGCGTCGGTGCAACTTTGGCTGCCGAAGATCTCGGGAGTTGGCGATGTAGATCCAGTAGTCCAAGAAAGGAGGGATTGTCGTTGATCGTGAATCATAACGCCGCGGGCAGTCGGCTATAGTTTTAATTAGGAACATCTCGTTAGCGATGTTTCCCTCGCCGCCGGTAGATAAGACTCGACGACGGGGAGGGCAGGGAAAAGTCGAAAATACGATGAGTGCGATTCGCGCGGTGAATTCCGCGCAGGCGGTTCGTGACTATCGGTGCGCGGCCGAGAGAATTACGCTAATTGTGCCTCTCCACTTCGGATGGCGAAGGAAGGAATGGATCGCGGCCAAACAATATTCTTATTCGCTCGCGGCGTCGTTTCGACAAGAGCCGCCGCGCCGCCGAGGAAGGTTACCGAGAGCGGAGTGAAATAATTGCGAGATACCAGCCACGGTCGGAGGAAAGTTTTATCAGCGACTTCTGGGCCGCAGAAGCACGAAAATCCGATACCCGGCCGTTATCGCGAAACTTCGGCCGACTAATTATTACATCTCGCCGAGGCGCGCGCGGACGCGATGTCAGTGGGTGGCAACAATAAATCTCGCGGGAAACGACGTAGTTTCGCAATTTCATAAAATACCGTGAAATGCGAATAAAACGGAGGAAAATAAACGTTTACGCCACGACGTGGTATCTCGGCGTCCATGATCGGTCGGAGATTAGAACCGAAGTCGGCGGGGATTTCGAGAGCGAATTCAGCAGCGAAGATGGCCGCACAGTTGGAAAATTTGTATTCTTTTGTTTAAAAAATGCCAGTTAAAATTTCTGTGTTAAATGTTTAGCACGTTCATGTGTTAATTTAACATATTGCTCTTGTGTTAATTGACCTGAAATGTAAAATTATAATATTAAAATAACTGAAAAGAAATGTTAAAACAACACAATGTGTACTTATTTTTTAATCTGACACAATACACATGTTCTATATTATAAGTAACAAATTTATCTGTTAAAATTTACAGAATAAAATGTTGATTTTATGCTATAATAACATAAGTGAAAGTGATTTCAAACTGTCATTTGTGACTTATTACATCTGTAAAATGTAAAAATTACATTTTTAAAATTCATTTTTAAAATTCATTTTGTCATTAAAAATATGTTAATTTTATACAACATTTATTTCAAATTATTTTGAGATTTACATTTATTTTGTGTTAAAATATCAACAGAGTATTAGTGTGATCCTTTAACATATCCATATTATGTTTAAATTAACACAAAAATTTGTGTGAACCGTTTCGGACATGTGATGTCTGTTAAGTTTAACACGAATTTTTCAACTGTGTGGTACAACACGGGAAAAAAAACGTAGCTGTCGTAGCTAAAAACTGCATGTGATAACTAAATTTCAGTTGCACAGTATGGACAGCTAATATTTTGCTACTGTGCCTATTGTATTAGGTGCGACAGCAAACCGTGTGCGCTGGTTGAAAAATTTATAAATTGATAAAATTCGTATGGCTGAAATGTGATAGACACAAATTTGAAGAAATAAAGGACTAAGAGTCGTGACAGGGTGTTAGTGTCTAAATATTTCATATTTTAAATTTATTCCGAAAAATATTACCTCATAAAAATTTATACTCATGGCAGCAAGATACTTTTAGCAAATCGTATCTACGTTAGCGAAATTTTTTTTCCAGCGAAAAGTACGCGAACGATAAAAAGGAGGATGATACGATCGAAACATTGACCTCTCGGATAATTCGGCCGACCAGCCGTGGCCATCAGGCGTGAAAGAAAGCTCCGAGAGGAAAGGGACGGCGGAGGCAATTATGAATATTATCTCGCGGTAAGGAGAAACTTTCTAAGCGCGGAGAACGATCGTTTCTCCTTATCTATCGTGTCGCACGCTCGAGAGCGTGGAAAATCTCGGAGAGCGATTTCAGTTGACACGGCCGCGAGATCTGGGTTGTCGTGAGAGCGCGCGCGACAAATGCTGCACTATTATCTTTTATTATAGTACAAATAATTCTACTGTAATACAACAGAGCTTGATTACATCATAATAAAGAGCCTGAGATTCTAGTCTGAGGGAGCACGTTACTCTCTCCTGAGAAATATTTCATTCCCCTATAAGAATTCTTTTCTTTTTTTTTTACAGAGACCCATATAAACAGGATAAGTAATATTTCCTGCAAGCTTATAAAATATTCTTGCGGGTTTAGCTTTCTCGATTTTGAGAAAAAGCTCTCGTTCCACCGAAAAGTGGAAAAAATTGGACGTCGATAAAGCGGGAGTTTTATTCAATCTGTGCGACGGATCCTGGTATACTTCCTTAATTTCAACGAGTATCCATGAAATCGATGACGTGAGATTTCTTGCGTCCGTCGGTGAAACGAGACTCGGTTCGAAAGAGAGGAAGAGGCGATTCCGTACAGGTCTCTCTTTGCGCCAGGGCACCGCAGGCCGCAATTAGCCTGCGTACACCGTAGTCCCGTAGCCGCGACGTGCGCCTAGGAAACGACCAATTTGCATCAAGTACGAGTCTAACAGTCGTCTCGTGTGCCCTGTCGCAATGCGGTCAAACGGAAAGAATGCGATCGTTGAAACGCACGAGCGTCGGCTCGCAGGCGCACGTCGCCGGTCACCGTCGGACCCCACCGGCAGAAATGGATGCCACGATCTTGGGGTCGTCGCCGTTACCAGGGAACGAAGTTGGTCTATCGGGGGAGAAGGGGGGAGGGGGGGGAGGGAAAGGGGTGCAAGCAATCGTGATTAGGTCAGAATTAAATCGACGCTCGGAATTCCAACGGGTTTCTTGCCGCCTCGTTGCCGCGCGAATGCAAATGCCGATGGCCCGATCGCGGGGGCGGAGAACCGGAGGTCGCCGCCACGGCGGGACAGTCGTGATGTATAGGCGTCGATACGTTTTCAGAATGCAATCGTCGGAATGGAACGCGCGTAAGGAGGCGTCGCGTGGCGCCCGAACGTGGGAGGGCGGTTCATAAATTTTCGGGCTTCGCCGCCGAGACGCTATCCGCCGATGGAACATGGCCGCTGGACTCTCGCACGACGGTCTTTTTCACGCGGACCGTCGTGAGTTCCCCCTCTAAATATTCATGTTCACTTTACGTGCCCGGTGGGCAAGAGGCCCGAAAGCCCTGGCGAAAGGAAACCTCTGATCTGTCATCGATTCGAGATGGATGGGAATGATTAATTGGCGGCCTCGGTAAAATCGTTGTAAGAAGAGTATGAATTTTTCATACGCCAACGTAGCCAATAATTTTTATTGCCAGTGATTTTATAAAATTAACACCGTGTTACGTGAAATATTGGTGTCTTTACAGGCGCATGTATTTTCTCTCCGTTCAAACGTTGTTTAATAAAGCGCATCGTTGAGCTTTATTATCACATATGGATAATCGGGGGGGGGGGGGGGGACGTGGCGTCAACCGCATAAATTAATGCTTCAACGGAATCAATATGCATACCCGAGCGGCGCGCGTCCGATAAAATATAACGGCGTCTGCCGTTGAACAATGGCTCGTACCTCTCTCGCAATCAGCAAAATCCGCACCCAAGACATTCGAGTCACGATAAGGTTCTCAGACCGACCGCGCCAATTTCGGTTAATTGGATACCAATTAGATGAGTCCCGGGCGTTGCGACGGCGGACGAATTACGGCGGATTTCTCGGTTTTTCGCGCGCGTATGATTCCCCGACCCGCCCAGCTTTTCCCCCCGGCCATCTGTTTTGGCCCGCGACAGGAGGAGGCAGTGTCGTTCGAGGACTGAATTTCCATTCGACGAATACGAATGACGGTAACCGGCCTCCTACGACGGGGCATCTATTCGTTTTATCGTTTTCGTCGTGTCGTCCGGGAAGGCAGAAGGACTGACGGCCTTCCAATTTCGACGATTGCGTACTTACGATGAATCACAATGCGATCGATATCTAGATTGCCTATCCCAAAACTAGCGAATAGTATCCTGAGGATAAATTACGCCCGGCTTAAATATGTAAAGCTCTTCACGCCGGTGTTATTTAATTCCAAATGTACTTTGCCTCAATCGTAACAATGTCTAGCAAAGCACATTTAAGACTGCCTGGAAAATGATTGTTTGAGTGTTAAGATCCTCATTAAGCGTCCTTAGAAATTTTCACCGGGGAAAGAATCGACTTCAGATCCGAAAGGATCGAATAAAGAAGTCATTCTGAGAGAAACGAAAATTTCAGGCAATAATGACGGTGCACTTTAGGTGATGAAATTACAAGACTGATGGCGACATATCTGGGCAGGCAGCCGTGTTTAATTCGACAATTCGCGATAATTCGCGGGAAACGCGGGGTCATGTAAGCGGATCAAAAGTATTATCGAACACAGTCGGTGCCGGTAACTTCGTATGAAGCGAGAACGAGGGGGATAAAGTTCCCGGGCAAGTTGACTCTAATGTTCCACGGGCGCAAGTGGTTTCGTCAGCGCCTCTAACTACTTGCTAGTAGTTAATTACGCGCCGAAAACTTCTTACTTACGAAAGACGAAGGCATGGACGAATCCGTCGACAGTGATGCCTCAGCACTCGCTGAGTTTGTCTC